GGCGCACGGACGGACGTCGTTTGCGCAGTCTACGCCGCGGCACAGCGAGTTCTGGCGGAGCTTACGAGCTCTGCGTAGCCGCTAGGGAGAGCTCTTCAATGGCTTACGGTCGAGTAGCGGGAGGGCAGCGCCGAGGGGCGGGGACTGCCCGGGCCCGGCCCCGGACGGTGACGTACCGGGCTTTGTGAATCCCAGACTGAAGTTTGGTTGAGTCACGGGAGGGTAAATAAGGATGTTTCGGAGACAAAGAGACTCTTAAAGGGGCAGCGCGGGAGGTGGCGCGTTCCCGCGGGGCCCCTGAGGTGGCTGCGTGCGGCGGGAGATACCCCACAGGGCCCCTGAGGTGACGGGGGGGGGCACCCCACAGAGCCCCTGAGGTGACAGGGCCCCTGGGGTGACGGGAGGGGGCACCCCCACAGGGCCCCTGAAGTGATGGGGGGCATCCCACAGGGCCCCTGAGGTGACGGGAGGTGGGCACCCCGTGGGGCCAGGCAGCGCTGATGGCACACAAAGTCCCACGAGCCATACTGGCCTTTGCCAGAGGTCACTCGAAGGCCCCTAGGTCACACGGTCATCGCCACAGTGCAGGAGCCATGAGGGGATGGAAACGTGTTTTGTCAGACACAAAGGGACATCGGCACTGAGGCCGGGGGAGAAGCCTGTCCACAGCAAGGGACAGCCACACTCGGGAGTCACCCGCAACCGCTGGGACAACACTTTTTTGCATCCTGCAGGAGGTACCGTCGGGGACCTGCCAGGGAGCAGTGAGTCCTGCTCTCTAGGCAGCACTGAGCCGGGGCAAAGCTGCAAGCAAGTGGTCATGGACCGTGCAGCACTGATGGCACGTAGCACAGGTCAGTGGTGTCACAGACACGATTCCTTTGCACAGGGACAAAGTGTTCCCCCCCCCCCCCACCCCAGGTGGCCCCCCCCACCCCCCCCATCTTGTCCCAGTACGTTTTGAGGCAACGCACTGTAATTTACTGCGACAGGTGGGAGCCTGCTTTCTTCTGCCCCAGCACAAGGACACTCCACAACCTCGTGGTCTCCTTGTGAGCTCCTTCACCAGCCAGCCTTCCCACAAATTCCACTTCCTGAGCTTTGTTGTCTTTTCCCTACACCTTCCCTTTCTGACCAGTGCCTGGTCTGTTTTGAACCCATACCTGCACAGAAATCCACAGTCACACACCTCTCAACTCTTCAACAGCTCCCCACTGGAATGAGCTCTCAGTCTGTAATGTCTGCTAAGAATTAAAACTGAAGATTAACGAGGCCCTTATGTCCTCACTCTCTTTGTAAAGCTTAGCAGGATGCAGCTGCTATGTAAGTACTTCCTCATAAAAAATGCCACAGCACAAAACAGAACAAAAGCCCAAAGTATCCCCAGGGTGGCAGTGGGACTTGGACTCTCTCTCTCTGCCACTAAAGTGTTGGTGACCCTGGCAACATCACCCAGCCTCTACTTAGAGCTAGGAGGGGGAAAGCTATAACGATGCAAGGGTGAGACCCACGTCCCCAAGATCCCCAGTCCCCTCTAGGTCAGGCTTCAACTCACAGAAAACAACATTGCCAGTGATTTTTGAGGTGCAGAAGCAGAAAAAAGGATCCACAGTGGTACAGGACTACAGCTTGGCAGCCTCTCCCTCTAGATCTTGCATTCTCTGAGAAAACACCGGGGAGCAACAGGCAAACAACCTTCCAGACCATGCCTTGGCAGGCAAAATTAGGGGGGTTTCAATTACACTGGCTCAATCTGTTAATGTAATACAACTGAAAGCCCCCTGAAGCCTTGTTAAGATGCAGACTAGCATGTTCGAAGCCACGTTAACCTGCCACATTGATGCTGGAGCGGGCAGAACGAGGAGGATTACTGCAGCTAATAAGACTGAAAAACAGTCATTTTGTCCATCAAGAAAGTAAAACGCCTCAGAGTAAAAGCAGCCCCTCATGTGGGGCAGCTGATCCCCCCGTTCACAGAATGCAGTTACAGCAACAGACGTTTTTGCTAAGACATAAAGGGCTAAATCCTACCCAACCTTACATGCGCGGAAACCTACTGACGTCAATGGCTGTAATGGTGTAATTGAAGGCAGAATGTAGCTCAAGGGGTCCCATTTTATTACTCTAGGAACAGTACAATGTATTAATAAGAGCACAGAAGTCCCCAGAGATTCCAGCACACATTTTATGCTTTTAAGACATGTGACCTGAGTTTTGACATCTCTGGTTACAGAACGCATCTTTTGGGAATTAATAAAGCATTAGCAACATTCAGCATAACTAATCTGACCATTAAAAGGTGTTTTTTTTAACCTTAAGTCTTAAAATGGAAAACAGGACAGAAATAACTATCCCCACAAAGACTACAGTTTGTTTTCCTAAGTTTTCCCAGCCACACTTAATTACATGGAATGACAGCAGGTCAGATTTTCATCACTGAAAATTAATAGTCCCACTGAAGTCAGTGCACATGTCATGAACTTGAGCTAAGAGTTGCAAAAATTCAGTATATTCAGCGTGTTGGAATTTCTAACACACTTAGAGTACCTTATGCCATTTATGCTCATTAACCAGGTCTTTCTGGACCCAGCACTGATTAAATTTATTAAATGCCCACACTAAAAGCTCTAGGCGCTCTAACAGTTAATTAGGCTTACAGGTAGAAATGATAATCACAAAGAAGTCATATCTAAATAGCTAGTTCTCCAATATTCAGCGTGTTGGAATTTCTAACACACTTAGAGTACCTTATGCCATTTATGCTCATTAACCAGGTCTTTCTGGACCCAGCACTGATTAAATTTATTAAATGCCCACACTAAAAGCTCTAGGCGCTCTAACAGTTAATTAGGCTTACAGGTAGAAATGATAATCACAAAGAAGTCATATCTAAATAGCTAGTTCTCCAAGGCAGCAAATCAAGTAACAAAACAGCTTCTCCCCCCCCCCCCCCTCCCCCCCCCCCCCCCCACTGCTTCAGAAGGAAAAATCTATTTAGGAGAAATCTATTTCTGTTTTACTTGCTCTTCAGACTCTTCAAGACCCATGTATTGGCAAGGAACCAACAATACTTCCCGAGAGCAAGATGCACACTGCATCTTCACGAGGAACCCGCTGTCCTTCTTGCAAATCTCCCTTCCTAAAGCCATCCTTAGACCTTCTCTACACCTGCCCTTCACGTCCAGGACACGGGCCGCAGAGCTGGAACCCTGCTACACACAGCCTTCCCAGCAACCACGAAGGAGGCTCAGCGCAAAGGTTGGTGGCTGAATGAGCATGTTTCTGCTTATTCTAAGACCGAGCAGGGGGTGGAGCAGGGAGGAGAAGAAAAAATGACAGCTACAAGCCAGACAGATACTGAACATGTAAAACCAAGGGGACAGATGGCTCAAAAGGGATCTAATTTCCCTGGTTTTCCTGCTGTAAAAATAAATCACCACTAAAAAAAAAAAATATTCAAGTGATATCATATAGTTAAGTCTTGTAATAAATTTTTGGCTCTTATTCCCCAAATCCTTCCTTAGTTCGCTAAATCTGCTGAAGTCACCAGGATTTCTCAAATGAGAAACGGCGTGCAGGGATAGGACATTTATTACCTACCTTTCAAACAATGAGATAAAGCAGTTGGTATTCTCTTTCAATGCATGAGAGGGCTCCTACCGAGGCTTCATCGGTATCATCTGAGAGGTAGGAGATTTTAATACTCCCATCAGATATAAAAGATGAAGGCAAGCTAAGAACATACCCATAATAGGAATGCAAAAATTCCTGCAGATTTTGCCACAGGGAAATTAGTTTGCTTCAGGGGTATAAAGCTCTTGAACCAAATCAGAGATAAAACTCTGCTGAAGAATTGTCTCCATGCAACAGAAAAATTCAAAAGCTGTAAATAAGCAATACAAAACAGCACAACACTTGCTGTGCAGAAAGACTCCATCTCCTCACAAAATACAGCTTTTTATTTTGATGAAAAACAAGACGACACTTTCACGTGGATATCTAAAACAAATTTTAAAAAAAAAATCTCTCGTGTAGCTGTTTGCAGACAAGAAAACTCTGCCCTTGCATGCATTTGGCTGGAATTTCTCCTTTTCCCTCCTTCCACCGACGAACAGTAATCCCCTGCATGAAGCACTGTACTAAGAACCATCGGAACCACGGGCCCGATCCCAGACACGCTCAAAAACACGAAGGAGGACAACAAGAAATACGCACAGCATTCAAGACCTTTGCTTTGAAACGGGGGAAAGAGATTGAGAAGAAAAAAAAACCTTGGGCTGCCTCCAGTGCCGCTTTTTGGAGGGACTCCTGATCCACGCAGGCAGGCAGAAAAAGAGGATGCAGTCGCTCTAACCCGGGCTCCAGGGAGTCCTTTCATCTGATCCCCGCTACAGGCACCTGCTGCTGCTTGCGGATCTTGTTGAACAGCTCCATGTACTGAACCATCGTGTCCGCTGGGCTGTAGATGCTGTCGTGCTTGGTGCCAAACACGGACGGGATTCCGGGAGTGTGGTTCCCCATGAAGCTCTGCATGAACTCCATGAGCAGGTTCCAGCAGTCGTTGGCTATCACGCAGGGGCAGTACTCCACCTGGCAACAGAAACCACAGCCCTGAAGCTCGTGGCAGGGGCAATAACCACACAGGAGGCAACGCGCTTTCCTCTCTCCTCACTAGAGACAGCGAGCTTTTCGTAAAAACATCTGAGAATATTTAGCATATAACGAGGATGGACAAATACAAATGAACAGGACATGCTGGGAACATGCAAGCAATCCCTTCAAAAGGGAAGGGGAGGTAAAACGTACCCTGTAAGGGCACTGCTTTTATTAAATCCCCAACAATGGAGGTCTTGGGACATTGGTTCAAACGCCACATTAACTTTACCCCGTCCAAACCCAAACTTCATTCCCACATGCTGGTAGGTCGGTGACTCGTGTGGCTGTGACGTCTTTCAGGAATGTACTGGGAAAAGCCTTGGGACTTAAGGACTTGGAAGCGTTTTACTAAACATGAGCCTGATCTTAAATCAGGAGTAGGTCCTAATGCAAACCCCGAAAAAACTACTAAACTAAAACAGAAGCAGCCAGACCGCCTGGCAAATCTGGTCCTGAACTCAAGTTTAGGGTAAAACAAGTTTAACCCCAGGTCAATAGCAACGCTGACGCTACAACATCTGTGTTTATTGCAGTGAAGAAATAAGCCATTTCTCAACCCTCGTCCCTGCTGGCTAGGAACACCTGCCTGAGTAGACGCAGCGTGATTATTAATTGTATATCAGATAATAGGATTTGTGTGTTTAGAAAAGCGCATGCTCTGATTTTGAAGAACTTTTAAGCATCTAATTCTCAGCTATCTTGAAGACTGTTAGGCACCAATATGTCTAGATGTCTGGAATCTGACCTACTCTGCTTTGCCCTTCCCGTACCAGCGCAGCCCAGCCCCCTGTCTTTTTCCGAGATGTTTTTCAGCCCAGCTGAGGCTTGTCCATGGCTTGTGAGCCTTCGACTCACAAGCTTGCACTCAGCAAGCTTGCTGAGCTTGCACTCAGCCAACCATCTCCCCAAATGCCTTCCTAGACCCTCCCATGCCCCTTCGTGTACGCCGAAGGATCTCCCTTTAGAGTTTGCTTCAGCCCAGCCTCCACCCTGTGAAATGCCCGTCGGCAGCTGGCAGCCGAAGCTCTCGAGCCTCATCAGCAGTCACGGCACTGAGCGGAGAGCGCGGAAGCGCTTTGATGGCAGGCTTCGAGCCCGCGGTGCACCCCACGGTGCAACAATCCAGGTTGGCACGCCATGGGGTAGGACTGGCGCCTGCCAAAAGCTCTCTGGTGAGGAGAAGACCATCTCTACACCGCGTGAGCAGAACCTGGGGCAGGAGGGCCGGGCTCTCAGCCCCGCCATTGTCTGCTGGAGATGCGGAAAGAAAGCAAAACCCAAATCAGCATCCAATTAGCAGCTGAAGAGGTTGTTTTGCCCCCCTTGGTATGCTTATTAACCTGAAGTACGCTACTAGTGTTGTCCATCAGGACTTTAAGCAGCTTTTCAGTTTGATGGCATCCCTTCAGGGTTTTGTTTATTGACACTTCAATGACAGGCTTTTCTGTAGCTGCAGCTGAGCCCCAAAGTACCTGCCTGAATTAAACCTTGTTGTGAAAAGGAGATAAATACCCTGCCTGCTGCATACATGAACGCACCTAGTACAAACTACCAGCAACGAGCAACACAATCGAGACACAGAAGGGACGGGGGATTTCTCGTCTAGCCTCCAACATGGGATTTCCCTGTCTGTAGTTGTATCTCATACCCTTCAAAGGCGATTCTTACCTCCACAGATATCCCACGGGCACTGGGCCCCATTGTGACCGTGCCCACCTTCACCAAGAAGTCACAGTACTGGTAGCGGGTGCCCCGGCTCTCTATCTTGTTCGCCTTGGCGTTTTGGAAGAAGCCTTTCAACTTCACCATAAGGGTATCAAAGTTGGCGTCTGCTATGAGGCAGGGACCGTTTTCAAAGAGAGCGAAGCAGCTGAGGGGATATTCCGAGTTGTGCATCACGTACATCAGCTTGCCTGTCTGCCCTGGAATAAGAGCAATGGTATTTGGGCTGTAAAACCAACAGTCCTGCACTTGTATGTGCGTTAAAGAAGCATCTGGTTTTTCCCTTGTCCTCCTCGTTGCTTTAATTCCAGGGTCCTCGTACTGCTCATACGTGCTTTACGTTATCCGGCCGTTCAGTGAACAGTTTGTATTTCCTTCTTAAGATTTAAAGTAAAAGGGGAAGAAAAAAAAGAAATCTTCTGCAGCCCGGGGATAACGCGCCAGCACGACTCAGAGACCAGAGGGTGAGCTGGACGTGGGATCCCCAGCAGACTGGTGGGGGGGTGGTCAGCAAAGAGCACCCACCTCCCATCCCCAAACGTGGGGCCGGGCATCCGCTGACTGTCCTCCTGCCCACGGTCACTGGAGGAAGGGTCACAAGGCTGGGCTTTGCCTCTCCTCCCACTCACCCACCAGTCCTGCCTGGGGAGGATGTGCTGGGACACGCTCTGGAAAACAGGGTGCCCAGAGGGGACGCGCCTGGCTTCTACCACGCCTTAAAAACTGGAAACAATTCTCATTTATCCGCACAGGTCAAAAAAGCCTTTCCACGCACGCGGCCGTGCAAGTTCCAGCTGCAGAAAAAGCAGCAAAGAGCTGCTCTAGTAGCTTCAGATGGATCTGTCCGGATGAACCGGCTGAGCAGAGCCCTGAGGCTGCGCGGGCTCCGTGCTGACCTCTGCAGCCACAGAGCCACCACGGTGATGTTGACATTGGCGTTTTTAGGTGACGTGAAAATCCAGGCGGTTAGGAGAAAGGAGGAGGCCGGAACAGCCCCTTGAGGCGAGCAGGCCACGCCGTACCTTTGAGCAACCTTTGAGCTACCGTTTTAGGCCGTGCTACCTCAAGAGGGGATTCGGGGTCCTCCGAGCACACCCCCTGGAAACAGCTGGGTCATCTCACGCCTCAAAACACC